AGAGAGAGAGAGAGAGAGAATTCTTGTGAGACGGACAAAAGGGACAGCCTATATGTTCCATTGGTGGGGAATGGACTTAAGTAGCTGCTCCCCATGTTTGCCTGTCTTTGTTCTCCTCCTCTAAGGCTCTGCAGTCCTTTTCATAACACACTGGCTCTGTAACTTTCAATTGCCAACAACACTTGTGCTTCCAAACCTTCAGCTAAGGAGTCTGATGATCCATGGAGTAGCAAGGAACAAGGGACCAGTACTAATGACCATGAGAACTTAGAACAGAATCCAAGGGAAGCTCCACATGTGAGTGAACACCCCCATCCCTTTCATGGTAGGTGGGTGTGGTGATGTGTTGGATAGGTGGTGAGAAACATCACTCTAGTTGTTTATAGGAGGACCAGGCCAAAGGAGTTGGACATGGATGGCTGTCAATGGAGACTTCCAAGCTAAGCTATGGCATTGATGTTGAGCAGCATCTCTCAGTGGTGGGGTTTGCAGACCAAAACATGCATCTTCTTTGGAAGTCTGAGATTGAAGTAATCTTGCTGAAACATTAATCTTAAACAGAGAAGATCATATCATTGATCTGAATTCCCTACAATGATATGTTCTCAAATGCATCTGTTCTGCGAAGATTTAGGTGCAGAAGTAATTAGTAGGTAATCAACAACAACTCCAAGTCATGTGCTGGCACCAAAAAGGCAGAATTAGCATTTGGATGTGGGGCTCAAAGAATCAGATACTAAAGCAATTAGTCATTGTTAACTACATTCCCTTTTCTTGGTGACACATAACAATCTGATTTCCACCAATGACCACATTTCAGAGTCAAATCACTGATGGAAGTGATCATAGCAAAAAGCTTATCAAACTCAACTTTTGAAGGCCTTCTGTTGCATAATGTTCAGATTCCTGTTAACATGAAAATTCTAAAAACTTGCCATGTGTGGTTTGTATCAGAAGTAAAACTTGCAGACACCTTTGTTTCATCCTACAGCATGTGGAAGAAGGCACAGATCAAATGCCAGGAAACAAACCTCCACAGTATTCCTGCAGACAAACCAAAATGGAAGAATCTTTCATGAATCAACAGTTGGTGCCATGAATTCTGCATCTCCACCATCACTGGGTAGACCAAGAAATTAAAGCTCATCCATAAGAGGATGTAGAAGATACTAGATGGAATTGTGCAGTCATATATCACTTTTCTAATCAAACCATGACTGATCTAACAACAAAGAAAACTAGTTCATTTAACAGCAACAAGCCTATGATTGCTCAAATTGACCTATTAATTTGTCAGAAATGAATGTTAAATCTGCTTGGTCCAACATCCAATCAAACACCAAGTTTTTAGTCAGTGAGATTTTCTCCTTTTTTGAGTAATGGTTCCATCAATCATGGCTGAATGAGTGTTGTTATTTGCTACCTATTACTGTGTTATTTTTCATTCAAATGTGTCTCGAGGGAAAAAAATATACTTCTAATTTGTAATTACGAGCAAATAAAGACTGTATAAAATATTATATATGTATATATATATTTATTATATTTCACAAAATACAACAATGTCGTTGTAGTATAGTGGTGAGTATTCCCGCCTGTCACGCGGGTGACCCGGGTTCGATCCCCGGCAACGGCGAGTAGTTTTTTGTTTAAATTTATAAAATGGTATATTTGTTTGAAAAACCTTTTTGTTTAAATTTATAAAATAATGTATTTATAAAAAATATTCAATCTTAAAAATTATAATTAAAGAAATATATATTTTAATCAGGATATTTTTTGTTTAAATTTATAAAATAGTGGATTTGTAAAAAAGTAGTTAATATTTGAAAAATATAGTTATAGAAATACAAATTTTAACCAATACTATTTTGTACTTTTGATATGTATCAACCATTACTTCTTAGTAATAGTCTTCAAAAAAAAAAAAAGTATTGAAAGAAAAATAAAAGGGAAGAAAATAATAGCAGTAGCTGTTGTTGTAAGAGAGAAGGAAATTAAAGAATAAAGAGAAAGATTAACATTATTATAATTTTATTTAAGAATTTTGGATTTGGTCTCGCAAGGAGATTAAAGAAACCAAAGAAACAAAACGAGAAGTACGAGATAGAAAATATTCAATGTCTATATTTTTTAAAATCATACAAAAAATTAAAATTAATGTAATGCACATGAAAACTATAATAATAATATATTTTTGGTCTTGCATTATTAAATGACCAGTCTAAAAGGTAAATATGTGTAAAATACATCTTTTGGATGGACAACATGGCCATGTGACCAAGTAGACCTCATGTGGTGTAGGTGAATGGATGACCCAAAATAATAAATAAGACTTGTTAAAGGCTCATGAGAGAACCTCAATTTTAAATAACCAGTCTTGCATTTACTGCCTATTTCTGTGTTATATTTCATTCAAATGTGACTCGAGGGAGAAAAATATACTTCTAATTTGTAATTACGAGCAAAAAAAAAAAAAGTTGGTTTATGTCTCCTTAACAAAATAAATTATATATATATATAATATATTACATTTCACCAACGTCGTTGTAGTATAGTGGTGAGTATTCCCGCCTGTCACGCGGGTGACCCGGGTTCGATCCCCGGCAACGGCGAATTATTTTTTGTTTAAATTTATAAAGTGGTATAATTGTTTGAAAAAAAAATTTTGGTTTAAATTTATAAAATAGTGTATTTTTAAAAAACCTTTTTGTTTACTATTGTTAGTGTAAACAACCTTAAGTCGTGGCCTCGGGATCGACGCGGCTTGGTTCAGGTCCGGATGACGGGGATCTCTCTAGGACGTTCCTCGAGACTACTGAGGTGGCCGATTACGGTGGTCCGATTGGGACGGGGTCGTTGTTTCCTCCGGGCAAGAACTCATTGCTTGCGCGTCTAGTAGGGACCTTATGCTTCGCACTTGCACAAAGGTCGGGTCAGGGAGCTCGGCCCGACCCCTCCGACGATCAAGTCAGTGGATGGTAAAGGGGGTTTGTTATCTATGTTGGTGTTCTTCTCCTCCCCTCTTCTCATTTAGAATGCGAGAGTATTTATAGAGAAGTTTACTGTTTTCTGATGTGCCCGCTTGTAGGGGACAGGCTCGTACTCCTGGTAGCGTCTAACACTGGTGTTGGTGTGCCGTGAAGGACCGAGCCTGAGCAGGATGTTTAATGTGCCTCGGTCGATGTTCCGATCCGTTTGACCAAGTGGTGTCAGGTCAACCGAGGCGTCATGACGTCAACCTGAGTCTTATCGCCATTATTACCCTCATCAACTATAAAATAGTGTATTTATAAAAAATATTCAATCTTAAAAAAATACAGCTAAAGAAATATAAATTTTAATCAGGAATTTTTTTCGTTTAAATTTATAAAATGGTTTATTTTTGAAAAACTTTTTTGTTTAAATTTGTAAAATAGCATATTTTAAAAAATCAGTTAATATTTGAAAAATAGAGTTAAAGAAATATAAATTTTAACCAAGATATTATTTTTGTACTTTTGATATGTATTAACCATTACTTCTAAATGTCCAGAAGATGCTACTACTACTAGTGATAGTCTTCAATAAAATAAGTATTGAAAAGAAAATAAAAAATAATAAAGAGAATGATTAATATTAATATAACTTTATTTAAGAATTTTAGATTTGGTCTCGCGATGTGTCATTTTATAATAGAGGAGATTAAAGAAATTGAATAAACAAAACGAGAAGCACGAGGTAGAAAATATTCAATGTCTATAGTTTTTAAAAATCATACAAAAAATTATAATTAATGTAATGCATATGAAAACTATAATAATAATATATTTTTGGTCTTGCATGTTTAAATGACTAGTCTAAAAGGTAAATGTGAAAATACATGCTTTGAATGGACCACATGATCATGTGACCAAAAGACCTCATGTGGTGTAGGTGTTGGTCAACCATGAATGGATGACCCAAAATAACAAAGATGACTTGTTGAAGGCTCATGAGAGAACCTCATTCCTTGAGCTTGATGTAGTAGAGCCATTCATCTCCATCAAAGGTCAAAGAGAGCCAACCTTATCTACTCACTCCCAAGCTATTCTCAATCTTAAAATTGATGGTGTCAACACTTCTTCTACCTCCCATGTTGATCTTTTTTGTTTTGATATAATTCTTAATATTATGTTGTTTAGAGATTTTTTCAGCTCTAATATCATAAGATATTCATTTTAGCTATCGCTTAGTCGAAAATTGATGAGATTTGATTTACTTATTTATATTGATATTGTCTGACTATAAATCTCCATAGAGTATATTTAACAATGAATTATTATAAAAATTGATCGACCTATTCTTTGTTGATTTACTAATTTATATTGTTCATCTTCCTTGAACTTTCCTTGGATAGAGCTTAATTCCTACTTAAATTTCAAGTGGTTGACACATTAATATGTGATTAAATGGTTACTAAGTCTTTTTCTTCCTTGCACAATTTTCCAACATAAGCTAAGATTACTATATGACAGGCATGTTGACATAATCCAAAAGTCATTGTTAAATCTAATTGAAACTCTATATATAGGAAAGCTTGATCATGATCTCACAAGTGAAAGAAAAAAAAATGATTTATGGTCCAAACATGATCACATAAGAGAGTTTGACTTCATATCTTATACTTTTGGATCAGGTAGTAATCCTCATCTGTGCATAGCCTCTTGTTTTTCTTATGTACATCAAATAATCCATGTCTCTTTCCCTACAATCATATCATGAAGGAATGATTCCTTTCAGGAAGATTACATATCACAATAAACCAGATAGTAATTGACAGGGGTAGACTTTTAGTTCCCTTCCCATCATTCATATTATGAAGCAATGACTCTTTCCACTCTGTATATATAACAAAGGTCAATTGCAGATCTTCTTAGTTCATAATGAACCAAATATTCAACCTTAATCCTGTTGATGACAGATCAGATGATGTTATGTCTGACTTGAGCAATTGCAGTAAACTTCCATTTAACTTCATGTAAATGGAGCAAAATTATAATACTCCAATTTAGCATCATATATCCTATTTTAGTACTACATCGGATGTGCGAAAAGAGCAAAAATCGATTTATACTAGTCACTTTAGCATTGGAAGACTTTAATCGGTTTACGTTAGTCGCTTGAGCTTAATCATTTTGCATAAATGATTCAAATTTATCAAGTTAATATATTAATTGTTTCGAATGATATTAGAGTAAATGCTAGCCTTAGTAGTGACTGAATATAGAAGCAGCAATTTTTTTCTTATATGGATAACATCAGAAACATAAATTTCAAAATCTTCATGCATATTTCAATAGAATTTTCCAACCCTGTTTTCTTAAGTACCTCTCTCAGTCAAGATTGGTTCTTGAATTCTTCTATGAAGTTTCCAAGATCTACACTGATGCTTCTATGAATCTTCTTCTTGATGACTGATGGTCAGGTCATGATTTATCCACCTTCAATTTTGTATAAAATGGCCAACTTGACCTTATCAACCCCAATCTAGTCTATTAGATATTCCAAACTGCAGCCTCCTCCTTTGATGCAAGATGGTTGAATGACAGAGACACACCAACCAACCTGAAAGTTAATTATTGAATCATGATTCTGATCTTTATGTTCAAAGGTATAAATCATACATGAGATCCACTCATTCATACATCACTAATAGTTTCCAATCAATTATTTTCTATGCACACATTTCAGCAGTCGACACAATTGCTCATGGAAGCAATGAAGTCACTGCTTGTCTAAATTCAAATTCCTACACTGGATAAGCTCAGTTGCAGTACAACAATGCGCATTGACCATCGATTGAAACCTTCCATCTTATTCCTGCGGGCAGATCTTTGTCAGCATTCTCTTAAGAAAGACTATGTGCAGATGCAGCTTTGTTTTTGCATCAGAACTCACAATAAAGAACATGGTATTAGAAGATCAATCAGCTTTATACAATAATGCATGTTACTGCACAAGTCCAGTCATCTGCAGTTGACTTTTCTCTGGCGATTTTTCTCTCTGGTCGTCTGTCTTCTTATGCTGAGACTTGCACTGCAGAAGCATTTGCAGTGTTCATCTGTGACCGACCAGCCATGGCGCAGCACAGGTGGAGCTTATTCTCTGTTGTCATCCACCTTTCATTTGCAGCGATGGTGATTCCTCTGGTGAGCTCGCTCTCCTTCAACTTCCCTAGTTTCAGAGAGGACGACCAATCATTCCATGAAGAGGCCGATGCATCCTTCAATGGCACGGTGATCAATCTTACGCGGTACCCCATGCAGTATGCCACCGGCAGAGTGGTGTACAACGAGCCGCTCCTCCTGTGGGATGCCGACACAAGAAATCTGACTGATTTCACCACTAATTTCTCCTTCATCATCGATTCCGTCAACCAGTCGTCGTACGCCGACGGCCTGGCTTTCTTCCTGTCGCCTTATGGTTCCACCTTTCCTACCTATTCGAGGGGTGGCTTCCTCGGCCTCTACAGCAACAGCTCCATGGACAATACGACCGTCAAGACGGTGGCGGTGGAGTTCGATACCTTCTCTAATGATTGGGATCCGAAGGGAGATCATCTTGGAATCGATGTCAACTCGATCATATCAAACAAGACGGTGCCGTGGAACAGCCGTGTCAGGGATGGCAGACGGGCAAATGCATGGGTGAACTACGACGCCACCACCTTCAATTTGAGTGCCTTTGTAACCTACGGAGAAGATCAGCTCTCCAATGGCAGTACCAGCCTATCCCTCACCGTTGATCTGCGAGATTTCCTGCCGGAGAGGGTAGCGGTTGGCTTCTCGGCCACCACCGGCAACTTGACTGAGACGCACACCCTTCTCTCTTGGTCTTTCACCTCAACCATGCAATCCCCTGAAGAAAGCAGAGGTAACAAGAAGCTGGTTGGAATTGTGGTCGCTGCTGTTGTCGGAGTTGTTGTCGTGCTTGGTGGCTTACTCTGGTTCTTGTTATGGAGGAAGAAGGCCACTGCTAGGACCGTGAGAAGCCAAGGTGGCACTGGAAGAGTTGTGGGAGCCGAAGATGGTGTGGACAGTGATGACACGATTGATGATGAGTTCGAGAAAGAAGGGAGGCCGAAGAGAATTCCTTACCAGGAGCTGGTCCACACGACGAGGAACTTCTCCGAGGAGGGGAAGCTTGGCGAGGGAGGATTCGGGTCGGTCTACAAAGGCAATCTGGATGGTCTCGACGTTGCCATCAAAAGGATCTCCAAAGATTCGAAGCAGGGAAGGAAGGAGTACGTCTCCGAGGTCAAGATCATCAACCGGCTGCGCCACCGTAACCTGGTGCGCCTGATCGGTTGGTGCCACGCCCGCGGCGAGTTCCTGCTCGTCTATGAGTTCATGCCCAACGGGAGCCTCAACTCCCATCTCTACAGGTCCGAGAACCCCCTCGGGTGGCCGGCGCGGCACAAGATCGCGTTGGGCTTGGCCTCCGCCCTTTTCTACCTCCACGAGGAGTGCGAGCCGTACGTGGTTCACCGCGACGTGAAGCCCAGCAACGTCATGCTCGACTCCGCGTTCAACGCCAAGCTCGGCGACTTCGGCCTCGCCAGGCTCGTCGACCATGACTGCGGCCTTCGGACCACGAACCTGGCAGGCACGTTGCCGTACATGGCTCCCGAGTACCTCCACAACGGCACGGCTAGCAAAGAATCCGATGTCTACAGCTTCGGAATCGTCGCGCTGGAGATCGCGTGTGGGAGAAGGCCGATGGAGGCAATGTTACTTGCCGCATGGGTGTGGGAGCTCCATGGAAGGGGAACAGTCCTTGAAGCAGCTGACAAGAGGCTCAATGGCAACTTCACGGAGGCGCAAATGGAGCGGTTGATGGTGGTAGGATTATGGTGTGCCCATCCCGACCAGACTCTCCGGCCGTCGATCAAGCAGGCCATCAACGTGCTCAACTCCGAGGCGCCATTGCCGAAGCTTCCTCCGAGGCGGCCCAGGCCGGTCTACCGCCACCCTTCCGACGACATGGCCGCCCCTGCAACTTCGTCCAACTTTATGACTGCAACATATTCCTCCGCAGGTGCAGGTGCAGCTTCAGCTTCAGCTTCATCTTCTGCAAGTGCAGCTTCTTCTTCTTCCGATGTGAAACCACCGACTGCTCCGAACTCTACAAATTCTCTCAACATTAGCATCTCTCCGACTTCGACGTATCAGAAGATTCACGAACGGATGCTGCACAAAGTTGACGTGTAACATGCTTCATTGGTAGTAATGAAGTTCTTCCATTGTAGTAATGTTATCTGCACTTGGCGAACTTGTATCAGAAAGTGTTTTGCTCAGTTCTTCCATTGTAGTAATGTTATCTGCACACACTTCAACCAAATTTTGCCTTTGATTCTTTCAGGTGCATCTGATGAAAAGAGAA